CGGTGATTAGACCAGTGCTCATGTATGGGTGTGGGACGTGGACCCGGACCAAAGAAACTGAAAGAAAACTTAGATGTTTTGAGAGGAAAATCCTCAGAAGAATCTTTGGGCCTTATCACGACATTAATATCAACCAATACCGAATGATAACAAATGCTGAGGTCAAGCAGATGTATAGAGCCAGCGACATAGTCCAAGAGATTAAATCCCAACGTCTAAGATGGGCTGGCCATGTCCATAGACACCCTAATAACCGCCTTTCAAGTTAATATGGGAAGAAGCTCCCCACAGGAAGAAGACCCTTAAGACGTCCACGAATGCATTGGAGAGACAATATATGGTCAGAGCTAAGTACAATGGGGCTACCCACTCACCTATTATGGACGACCGTACAAGATGGAAACAAGTTGTGCAGTCAGCCAAGACCCACCCCGGGTTGTAGTGCTACGAGAAGAAGTAGAAGAACCACAGGAACACCTTTAGGAATAAGGATAGGCCGACCACGAATTAGGTTGTTAGATGGAGATGAGATTGTCTTATTGATATTAAAAATCAGAAGACGGCAATAAGTCGTCGCAAACCGAACAGAATGGCAACAAATCTTAGAGCAGGTCATTATCCAAAAAGAATCGTCGAGCAAAAGAAGATGATGATGATGATGAAATGATCTATGTATCCATGAGAAATCCTTAAAGCCTCTCGACGAGAAAAGATAATAGACTATTTTCATTAACTGCAATAGTCAAATAATAAATATAATGTTCATTTTGGTACCGTTTCCTTGTGTAAATATTATGTTGTTAATTTAGAAAACAACGCCTTTTTTTAATATGCAAATTACGTGTCTAAATAACATAGTGTCGCAACAGTACTTATTTTTTTGTTGTTTGTATTTACATCGTTAATTGTTATGCTACATTATTTGTTGGATCATTCTGAAAATTTTTAATGTATGTATTTGTATAATTATGTCTGGTATATTTTCGTAAATATATATGCATAAAGATAATAGTTATTTATTTAGGTTATTTAGTTAATGGTAGATATTTTTTCTGGTTTTCCCGCTATGCAAGTTTTACTTGAATTACTGTTTAAATTTTTTTTAACATGAACGCTTTCTCACTGTTTACTTGTGCACTGGTTGTATAAATAGATTTGGTACCTACCGCAACAGTTCCGAAAACTGCGATCTATCCATTTTCGCGATCTCCATATCCACATCACACACTCTACACTACGATCCACATCAAACACTTAGATATAATTCCAACGGCACAAGGGAGCGTCCCTAACTTGCAGCAGGATGGTTAAAAATTAATATTAATTGAACTTAATAAACCTAAAAGAGTCTGAGTGTGTGTTTAACTCAAACAACACAATGAATGAACGTTACATTGGTCAAAAACCCGCATAGCGAACCATGCGTTAGTCATATTTTGGTATTAATCACCACAATTTTCATCGGAATCCGCTGCTAATGTGGAAATACATCTGTTTAGACGTACTATCGGATTTATCGTGACTAAGTCGGTGGTACTACCTTACCTTGACAGATAAAATAAATCGAAATCGGAATCAGCGGTGATACGCACTCAACGATGTGTACACAGAAGTTACATTTATGGATGGATCTTTTGTTAATGTCGATGTTTCCTGTTTAGCGAAGATCACATTGTTCGGTTTATCTCCTGGATGTTGCGTTTGATTGTTTATCAATAATATACAGAGTTATTTAAAAATAACAATAGTATTAATACGCTTCAGAAAAATATTCTACCGAATATATTAATCTTTGATAGTACTAATTTACAAGAGAGATCCTTCTTCTTCTTCTTCTTCTTATCTATTTTCTTGCATACAAATGCATTTGTGAGCGCATTTGGGTACACTGCACTTTTTCTTGCTCTTGCAATTGTACAGTGTGGATTTATATCGGAAAATAAATAATTATATTTATCAAATATGTTACAATATTCAGATTTTGTTTCACTTTAAACTTTATGTCATATGGTCTGTGTATTCTTGGTGAGGGAGTTAGTTTTTAACAAATTACAACAGAGGAAAATAAACTTTTCTACCTAGACAGATACCTAGGAATTCTTCTGTTATGAGGAAAGTAATATTAGCTTTAATAACATTAAGATTTCTTGTAACAGAAAGAACATACGAGTGTCTCAAATATTCTGCTATTATATTACCTCAGGCTTTGGGCCGAATAATACCTGAAACATGTGATGTTATAAGAACTATGGTAGGCAAGCTCGCCTAACGCCACACACGCTAGGGCACGGGTGCTCAAACGGTCGATCGCGAGTGCTTTTTGGGTAGATTCTCGAGAAGAAAAAAATTTTAATAAGTAGGTAGGTAACTAAACTACTGTCAGCAGAGTTAAACGTTTTTATTAATACTGAATAGAATGCTTGACTAAGCATCATTGCAATTCAAAGAAGTGGGGACAACAAAATACCGTCTACACAGCATATTTTATATTTACATATATCAACTAATTATTTTATTAATTCAATATTTATTATAATTATTAATCAAATTTGGGATGATATACTATCTACAAAAATGTATTACGTAATAAAATAACACTGCTTGCGGCAAAAGGTGGCTTTATCAAAGGAACGCGCGGCACTTGTCAAAGAAAAGCCGTGTTATTTCTAGACGAGAGACAGTACAGTCTAGTTTCGGGCGGCGCGTATTGACGGAACATTCGAGACTTTCGTTCACGCCGATATAAATGTTGCGCCTGCAGGAATTGGAGTTATTCTGATTTGTAACTTGATAGCGATCCTACATCGACACAAAGTTTATTATTAAATAGTGGAAAATGAGTGCAGTGAAGAAATCTAAAACGTATCATTTTAATATGGATTGGGAGGAAGAATTTTTCTTTTCTCTGGTGAAGGATAAGTGCATTTGTGTTATTTGTCGTGCGTCATTGCAATACCTAAGCGTGGTAACTTAGAGAGGCATCATAAAACGGTTCATAAAAACTATGAAAAGGATTTTCCGCCACAGAGTGAATTAAGAAAACGAAAAGTAAGTGATTTGATATCTTGTTTGAAAAAGAACAATCCATGTTCACAAGACCAGCCAAACAATCAAAAGCTGCTACGATCGCGTCATTTAAAATATCTCATATTTTGGCGAAAACACAAGAAACCATTTGAAGATGGATCGGTGGTGAAGGAAGCATTTATTGAAGCGGGTGAGATTTTATTTGGAGATTTTAAACATAAAACAGAAATCACGTCTGCTATTAGAGAACTTCAGTTATCTCGTCCGACTGTCACAAGGCGTATTGAAGTCATGAGTCAAGACATCGCAGATAAACTAAAACATGATATCATGGAATGATATATGCATAGAATGATACATACTTTTCTTTACAGTTAGACGAATCCATCGATATGACAGACACTTCCCAGCTGTGTATTTTTATTCGGATGGTATTCAATAACATGTTGGCTAAGGAAGAATTTTTGACAATCATTCCTCTGAAGGGGAAGACCCGTGGCGAAGATATATATGTCGTTTTCTTAAATTTTGTAAAAAACTACGAGCTACCAATATATAAATTAATGTGCATTACAACCGATGGAGCACACAGCAATGACTGGAAACAAAAACGGTTTTGTGGCATTGTGTCGAGCTAATGAAGAATTCCCTTAATTTTTTTCATTCCATTGCATTATATCTCAACAAGTTTTGTGTTCAAAAGTTTTAAACACGGAGAAAATTATGGGCATTGCAACAAAAATTGTGAATTCCATCCGTGCACGTAGCTTGCAACGGCGGCTCTTTCAGTTGCAGTTGGAAGATAGAGGGTCAGCTAAACACACTGATTTAGTTCTTCACACGGACGTCAGGTGGTTGAATCGCGGAAAATTCCTGGAAAGGTTTCAAGAATTATTGCCCGAAATAACAGCTTTTCTAGACGAAAGAGGTGATGACACTCAGATTTTGAAAAACGAAAAATGGCTAAATGATTTGGCATTTTTGACTGACATCACAATGCACTTAAACACCGTTAACTTGGAGCTTCAAGGTAAAGGAAAAACTATTATTGAGATGATTAGCGCAGTAAACGCATTCAAAAGTAAATTGCAACTTATGATAGATCAACTGAAAAGAAAGGATCTGAAACATTTTCCGTCTTTGAAAGCAAGGATTCCTCAGTTGAATTATGATACGTATGAGGGTGAATTATCAAATATTTTGGGACAATTCGAAATGCGTTTTTTATGATTGCAGTAAATTGGAAAATATCGCATCATTTATGAGTTATCCTTTTTCATGTAAAAATATTGAGGAATTAGCTACTGAAATAGCAAGTCAGTTTAATATGAACTCATGTTCTGTTGAAAATGAGTTGGTGCAGATTATATCAGATATACATCTCAAAGCTACAGTATCTGATACAAATTTCTGGCGTTTTATATCTGAAGATAAATATCCGAATGTAAGGCAAATCGCCTTTCATACTGACGGCATTTTTGGGTCAACTTACTTGTGCGAGTCTGCATTTTTCTGAAATGAAGATAATTAAGTCAAAATATCGCAATCGACTAACTGACGATCATATGACATCATGCTTGCGATTAGCACTCCGTGGTTACGTACCATCTTATGAAAACTATGCTGAGGACATCCATTGAACATCCAAAGCCACTTCTTAGTTAAGTTTAACACCATATGTAACTCTTTTGTTTTTGTAACAACAAATAAACTCGCTATTTTGAATAACTATGTTTTTCATTGATATTGTAGAGAAGAACCTAACTAAACCTAACCCAAACCTTGACTAAAATAGTGTACCTATATTGTGCAGAAAACTAATATCTGTATATGCTACGGTACGCCCTACTTAGGTAGGTAGGGTGTATCGTGTATGTACGGCAACCCTGCATCACACACACTTGCAGTCTCTCAGAGTCGATCGTAAGTAGTCTAAAAATATTGAGGTAGATCGCCAGCAGTTGAGCACCCCTGCGATAGGGTATGCTCGCAGACAAGCAAAACCGAGCGGCATAACCGCATAAAATATGAATTTTCATATTTGCTCGGTTGCATGTACATGGACCGATAACTGCACAGTTTTATCACATACATACACGCTAGGGCTTGCCTGTCAGTTATGCATGCAAGCTTAAAACCATCATGCAAACCCTAACGTGTATGGCCTCCATTAGTTGCCCGCATTCATAAAAACGATGTGGGCTTGCATTGATACGGAACAGGTGAGCAGCAAATAATGCATAGTCAGTACGTAATCTGATTAGTATGTTTGTTAAATGTCTTCTATCGATAAAATGAAAGGGTTTGAACCAATTTTTGTCAGGGAAGGTGGGTTGAATTTTTTGATACCATTTAAGTTTTGTTTGGAATGTTGATTTCCAAAATAGTTTATGAGATTTTTTAATTTTGTTTTTTATGTGGAGTAGGATATCATTTTTATCAATTTTTGTATTGAGTGGTATATTTAATGGACTTCCCACTTTTGCCAACAAGTCAACATGTTCGTTACCCTTAATACCATTATGGCCCGGGATCCATGCATAAAGTTGTTGTTATTGGATTCAACTAGTAGTTTTTAATTTCTGGAGAAAGATACTCAGCTTTGGCGTCTATGCTTTTACGTTTTAGCTTATCAATTGCACTTTTGGAGTCACTGAAAATTATCATCATCATCATCATCCAGCCGCAAGAGTCCACTGCTGAACATAGGCCTCTTCCTCGTGTTTCCAACCCCGTCTATCTTGCGCCGCTCTTATCCAGTTTTTATTGAGTCTTCTCAAATCGTCAGTCTATCTTGTAGGTGGTCGACTGACTATTATCTTGTCTTCCCTTGGCCTCCATTCCAATAACCTTTTGTCCATCGCCCATCTGTCATTCTGGCTATGTATCCTGCCCATCTCCATTTTAGTCTGGCTATCTTCTCGATGATGTCAGTCACGTCCGGTTCTTCTCCTGATGTCTTCGTTGGTTATTCTGTCTCGCAGAGTTATTCCTAACATGGACCGCTCCATTCTTCTCTGCGTGACTCCCACTTTGGTAGCTGCGGCTTTTGTTAAGGTAAGTGTTTCTGCTCCGTACGTCAAGACTGGGAGGACGCACTGATCAAATACTTTCTCTTTAGGCATGTGGGCAGCTCACTTTTAAAAGTTTCTCTCAGTTTTCCAAATGCTGCCCACCCAAGGCCGATTCTTCTTTTCAGTTCATGTGTCTGGTTATCCCTGCCAATCATAATTTCATGTCCCAGGTATTTATATCCATCTACGAAAATTACTACTGAAAATTATACAGCTGTATAATTTTTTTATGCAGGTAATGATGCCGTGGTTAATAGCCATAATCTCTGCATTACAGATATTAATGAGAGAAGGAAGTTTAGTGGAGAAACTAAACTCAATTTTAGGAATGTAGAGGCCAAGACCTACTTTAACATAATCATCCTTGTAATTGGATCTTGAGGCTTCTC